GTAGCAGAAGGGACTGAGTCAAAGGTCAGCAGGTGCACTGCACACAGATCAAACACGGAGCTGAGGTTCCTGAACTGTGAGTGTGAGACCCAATCTAGATGCTGAAGTAAAGCATAGTATCCCAGTGACTAGAGAAGCTAGGCGGGAGGATCGCTTGAGGCCAGGAGTTCAAGACCAGCCTGGGCAACACGGCGAGATCCTGTCTCTACAAAGTATTTAATAATTAGCTGGGTGTGGTGGTGCACATCTGAACCCTCAGCTACTGGGAGGTGAAGCAGGAGGATCACTTGAGGCCAGCAGTTCAAGACCAGCCTGGGCAACATAGCCAGACCCTGTCTCTACAAATAAAATTATAAAAACCAGGTGGGCATCGTGGCACACACCTGTTGCACCAGCTACATGGGAAACCGAGGTAGGAGGATCATTTGAGGCTGGGAGGTCGAGGCTGCAGTGAGCAAATGATGCCACTGCACTCCAGCTTGGGTGACGGAGCAAGACCGTTTATAAAAAAACAAACAAACAAAAAAAAACAAAAAAGCAATTCCTCGTCTACTCATCAATAAATTAAATAATGAACAGTTGATATGTTGAAGTTTTTTTCTGCGTGTAATTGGAGCTACTGTAAAAACTGGAGTGTTTGTTTCCTGGCAACAGGACTTCCCGGCACGTCGTGCAATTGACGGACCTTGTGCACAGATACTCTCTACTGTCATTTCTTAACAGGAACATGCATCGGGTGGTGGACAAACTAGAAATAACGGTAACGGAAATAATCCACGAATGTTTATCCCCGACCACTAAAGATTTTTTTTTTTTCCCGAGATGGAGTCTTACTCAGGCGCCCAGGCTGCACATGCCCCGGGTTCGGAGTCCCACATTCCCTGGGGTCCCGTCTCACAAGCCATGGGTTCCGCGTCCGAAATTTCTGGGGTTCCCCTTCCCATATTCCCGGGATTCCCTTTCCCGCATTCCCCGGGTTCCGCATTCCCCACGTTCCCCTTCCCACATTCCACGAGTTCCCCGTCCCACATTCCCCGGGTTCCGCATCCCACATTTCCGGGGTTCCCTTCCCACATTCCCCCGGGTTCCCCGTCTCACATTTCCGGGGTTCCGCATTCCACATGCCCTGGTTCGGAGTCCCACATTCCCTGGGGTCCCGTCTCACATGCCGTGGGTTCCCCGTCCGAAATTTCTGGGGTTCCCCTTCCCACATGCCCCGGGTTCCCCGTGTTTCCTGTCCCGCATTCCCGGGGTTCCCCTTCCCACATGCCCCGGGTTCCCTGCCCCACATGCTCTGGGTTCCCCGTGTTTCCCGTCCCACATTCCCGGTGTTCCCAGTCCTACACCCCCCCGGGTTCCCCGTCCCGCATTCCCGGGGTTCCCCTTCCCACATGCCCCGGGTTCCCTGCCCCACATGCTCTGGGTTCCCCGTGTTTCCCGTCCCACATTCCCGGTGTTCCCAGTCCTACACCCCCCCGGGTTCCCCGTCCCGCATTCCCGGGGTTCCCCTTCCCACATGCCCCGGGTTCCCTGCCCCACATGCTCTGGGTTCCCCGTGTTTCCCGTCCCGCATTCCCGGCGTTCCCAGTCCTACACCCCCCCGGGTTCCCCGTCCCGCATTCCCGGGGTTCCCCTTCCCACATGCCCCGGGTTCCCTGCCCCACATGCTCTGGGTTCCCCGTGTTTCCCGTCCCACATTCCCGGTGTTCCCAGTCCTACACCCCCCCGGGTTCCCCGTCCCGCATTCCCGGGGTTCCCCTTCCCACATGCCCCGGGTTCCCTGCCCCACATGCTCTGGGTTCCCCGTGTTCCCAGTCCTACATCCCCCCGGGTTCCCCGTCCCGCATTCCCGGTGTTCCCAGTCCGACATCCCCACGGGTTCCCCGTCCCGCATTCCCGGTGTTCCCAGTCCTACATCCCCCCGGGTTCCCCGTCCCGCATTCCCGGTGTTCCCAGTCCGACATCCCCCCCGGTTCCCCGTCCCGCATTCCCGGTGTTCCCAGTCCTACATCCCCCCGGGTTCCCCGTCCCACATTCCCGGTGTTCCCAGTCCTACATCCCCCCGGGTTCCCCGTCCCACATTCCCGGTGTTCCCAGTCCTACACCCCCCTGGGTTCCCCGTCCGGCATTCCCAGTCCTACATCCCCCCGGGTTCCCCGTCCCACATTCCCTAGGTTCCGCATCCCACATGCCCCGGGTTCCCCATCCCACTCCGTGCGTTGCTCAGTGACTGTTGTCTGCAGCACGAGCTGCTGGCTGTGCCGAGACCCCTCCTAACTCCTGCCTCCTCCCTCCTCCCTCCCGCCAGGCCCTCCTGCACAGCAGGCACCACACACACTCCTGGAGCCCCGAGTGGCTGTCACAGCAGGCTTGCCCCCCCATGCACCCAGCCCTGCCTCCGGCCTGGGGTTAGGAAAACCAGGCATGGCAGGGCTGTTCTTGCTAGGGCGTCCCAGGTAAATCCTTCAGCATGGAGCCAGAGGCGGGAGGTCTACGCGGTCCTGCAGGGAGAGCTGATGGGAAGGATGCATGGAGCATCACACCCTGAGCACCTCTGTCCTGCAGACACAGGGAGCACCGTCCCCAGAGCACCGGTGTCCAGCAGATGCAGGGAGCACCACTGCCCAGCAGACACAGGGAGTACTGTCCTCAGAGCACTGGTGTCCAGCAGACACGGGGAACACCGTCCCCAGAGCACGGCTGCCCAGCAGACACAGGGAGTACCGTCCTCAGAGCACTGGTGTTCAGCAGACATGGGGAACACCATCCCCAGAGCACGGCTGCCCAGCAGACACAGGGAGCACTGTCCATAGAGCACCGATGTCCAGCAGATGCACGGAGCACCACTGTCCAGCAGACACAGGGAGCACTGTCCATAGAGCACCGATGTCCAACGGATGCAGGGAGCACCACTGCCCAGCAGACAAAAGGAGCCCCGTCCCCAGAGCACCTGTGCCCAGCACATTCAGGGAGCACCGTTCCCAGAGCCACTATCCCCTACATGGAACATTCTTGACAACTATCATCTACACTGCACTCCAGCCTTGGTGCCTGATGTATCCTAAAAGCAAAACTCCATCTCAAATAAAATAAAACAAATTTAACGGTCTCACAGGAAAGGAATCTTAAAGATTAGAAGATATGTTGGGAGATACGTGTCCCCCCACCCTTTTTTTTTGACAAGTTGTCTTGTGCTGTCACTCAGGCTGGGCTGCGGTGGAGTGGCTCGATCTTGGCTCACTGCAACCTCCCCTCCCTGGTTCAAGCGATTCTCCTGACTCAGCCTCCCGAATAGCTGGGATTACAGGCACCTGCCACCACATCCAGCTAATACTTTTATTTTTGGTAGAGACAGGGTTTCACTGTCTTGGCAAGGCTGGTCTCAAACTCCTGATCTCAGGTGATCCTCCTGCCTCAGCCTCCCAAAGTGCTGGGATTAGTGAGCCACGGTGCCCAGCCAATTGTGTTTCTTTAAAAACTAGAAAGGTACCCAGAAACCTTGGGGGGAAGAGGGGCATGGAGGTGCCCAGCACCTCTGCCCGCAGGCCTGGCTGACGTTGGATGCTGCCGAGTTATGGCTCGGGAGGTGTCTCCTCTCAATCCGTGCGGGCACCTGCGGCCGCGACCTGGAAGTTCTCCCCTCACTCTAACCTGGGGCTGCCCTGTTGCAGCTCTTGTGTGGTTTCCTTCTGTGGCCTCGGTGCCGTGGACGCCCTTGGTCACGGAGGTCAGCCGTTACCCTTCCCCCCACCCCCCACCTGGCCCAGTACCTACACCCAGGATAGCTTCACACAGCCGCCCACCTGGTGGTTCTTTTGTATTTATTATTATTATTATGTTCTTGTTTATTTGAGGTGGAGTTTTGCTCATATCCCAGGCTGGAGTGCACTGGTCTGATCTCGGCTCACTGCGACCTCCGCCTCCCTCCTGGGTTCAAGTGATTCTTCTGCTTCAGTCTCCCGAGTCGCTGGGATTACAGGTGCCCACCACCACACCCAGCTAAGTTTTTTGTATTTTTTGTTTTTTAAGATGCGGTTTCACCATGTTGGTCAGGCTGGTCTTGAACTCCCGACCTCAGGTGATCCACCTGCCATGGCCTCCAAAGTGCTGGGATTACAGGCGTCAGCCACCGTGCCCGGCCGAGTTTTTTGTATTTTTACTAGAGATGGGGTTTCTCCATGTTGGTCAGGTTGGTTTTGAACTCTCGACCTCAGGTGATCCGCCCACCTCGGCCTCCCAAAGTGCTGGGATTACAGGTGTGAGCCACCGTGCCCGGTCACGTCTACCTGTTTAGAGATGCCTTCGTGTCTCTGTGTACCCACACACACACATCCACAGGCATACCCACGGACGCAGACAGACACACATGCATCACATGCCACAAACAGGCACCCACAGACACGCACGGACACGCAGAGATACACCCGCAGACAGGGACATGCAGACGGAGACAAAATGCAGAGATGGGCACCCACAGACGTGGACATGCAGAGACTCACTGACAGGTACCCACACGCAGACAGATGCAGGCACACACACACACACACATGTACAGAGATGCAGAAACACACACAGACACACAAACGCGGATGCAGCAGTCACATATGCACACCCACAGCCACACACCATGCACACAGATGCAGACACACACACAGGCACACACATACACGCAGCAGTCACATATGCACAGGCACCTATGACACACACCACACAGCACAGACATGCCATGCACACACACATGTGCAGACGCAGACACAGAGACAGAGTATCACGCACAGACACACAAGGTCATACCACACAGAGACACACATACACACACACCACACATACAAGGACATAGCACACAGAGACACACAAGCACAGCACAGTCAGCTATGCACACAGACACCCAGAGACACACAGCGTGGAAACGCACACGCAGAAACACGCATGCACGCACGCCGCCCCGCGTGCTCTCTGGAAGGCGGTGAGGCAGCAGGGCAAACGCTGGGAAGCCTCACCGGCAGCGAATCGGACCTGAGCCGCCTGCGGCCCGGCGGGTTGGAAGTGTGCGGCCAGCTCGATGGTTTCGGGGAGGTCGAACACGGTCACCTGCAGATGCGGGTTCTCCCGGACCAGCTCTTGGGCCAGCGCGCCGCGGAAGCAAATGCCTGCTGTGCGGCCGGGTCGTCCCGGCGCCGATGGAACCCTGACCACCCTCCAAAGCTCTATCGAGCAGAAGTAACGTTCACGCAATGGCCGGTGCCACAGCAGCCATTCTGGGCCACGTGTGGGGACACAGACTTGGAGGGAAATCCTTCCAGCCCGGGGTGGGGGTCTGTACTCCTCCCTTCTCCTTCCTGCCATGGGGATGCAGACACCATGGCCAGGGACGGTGGCTCACGCCTGTCATCCCAGCACTTTGGGAGGCCGAGGCGGGTGGATCACCAGGTCAAGACATCGAGACCAGCCTGCCCAAAAATTAGCCGGTTGTGGTGGCAGGTGCCTGTAATCCCAGCTACTCGGGAGGCTGAGGAGGAGAACTGCTTGAACCCTGGAGGTGGAGGTTGCAGTGAGCCGAGATTGCACCACTGCACTCCAGTCCGGGCAACCAGAGCGAAACTCCGTGTCTAAATAAATAAATAAATAAAATAAAATAAAATAAAAATAAAGCAAAGCAGTCTTACCATAATTATTCTTTCAATAAAACTGGAAAGAGAAAAATTATGTTTCAAAGCCTGTCGTCACACCTGCTGTTACATTCTGGTCTTGTCTAGTGGTTTTTGGTTTTTATTATTTTCTCCAGTTTGTATTCAATTCTAATTCTTCTGGCTACAAGCCTTCAAAGTAATGTTTTCAGGTTTTTTTCCTTTTTCTTTTTGCCATTTGTTCTAACTGAAAACCACTGAAACCTAAGCTGTGCTTTCTCATAGCTCTATGAATGAAAAACTAGATGTTTCAACGGGGGATGGCTGGAAGCCCTCCAAAATAAAGACCGGGAACAAACCAGTCTTCTCCCCTCCAGTGCTCTCCGCCATGTGATTAGGCTTCCAGAAGAAGCAGACACCCACTGCCTAGGCGCCTAGCACCCACAATCAAATCTCCCCCACCCAGGGTTCCAAAAAACACTTCCCACAGGCCACCTGCAAAGCCAACTTTCAGCCACTAGGACCCACTCCATCCCTAGAAGACTGAAGTCCCTCTTTTCTCCCACATCACTAGGAGTCCTGGGTCACTCTGCCCCCTCCCCTCATCCCTAGGGGTCCCGGGTCACTCCCCTGCCCCTTCGCTATGGGTCCTGGGTCACTCTCACCCCCTATCCCTAGGGGTTCCAAGTCAGTCTCCCGTCCCCCACTCATACAGGTCCAGGTCGCTCTCCCCTCCCTCATCCCTAGGGGTCTCTCTCCTCCTCCATCCCTAGGGGTCCCGGGTCACTCTCCCCTCCCCTATCCGTAGGGGTCCCGGGTCACTCTCCCCGCCCCCATCCCTAGGGGTCCCGGGTCACTCTCCCCTCCCCCATCCCTAGGAGTCCCGGGTCGCTCTCCCCTCCTCCATCCTTGGGGGTCCCGGGTCGCTCTCCCCTCCCCCATCCCTAGGGGTCCCGGGTCGCTCTCCCCTCCCCCATCCCTAGGGGTCCCGGGTCGCTCTCCCCTCCCCCATCCCTAGGGGTCCCGGGTCACTCTCCCCTCCCCCATCCCTAGAGGTCCTGAGTCGCTGGGCCCGGCTGGTTCGGCCCCTCCGTCCCCGTCCCCCCGCCCCGCCCAGGCCCAGGCCGCACCGCGTTGCTGAGGATCTCCTGGCGGCGTGGAGAGGCGCTGGCCAGCACCACGCGTTTGTGCAGCAGCTTCCCGATAACCGGGAACAGCACCATGGCGTCCACGCCGGGAGCCGGGAGGCCGCAGACTTCAGCCCGGAGCCGCCGGCGTGAGCGGCGCGGATCCGGAAATACCGCGGCCGGAGATACGCCTCCGCGAGTCCACGCCTAGACCACGCCTCCATCGACCTCCCGCGAGGTCACGCTAAGCCCCACCGCTCTTGATCTCGCCACTAGGCCACGCCCAGACCACGCCTCCATCGACCTCCCGCGAGGTCACGCCCAAGCCCCGTAGCCATTGACCTCCAGTGAGGCCACGCCCATACCACGCCTCCATCGACCTCCCGCGAGGTATCGCCCAAGCACGCCTCCATTACCTCCCTCGAGGCCACGCCCATCCCACGCCTCCATCGACCTCCTGCGAGGTCACGCCCAAGCCACGCCCCTATGCCCTTGCCTCTAGGCCACGCCCAGGGCACACACCTCCGGGCTCCCGTCAGGCTCCGCCCCCGCTGCTGGCGAAACTCCGCCCTTATCCTGGCCTCCCGGGCTCTGTCCGCGCCCCTGGCGCTAGCCCCGCCCGCCCGCGGAGGCTGACATTCCCGCTGGACCCGCAGGTTGGGGGCGTCCCTTGGGAGGAAAGGCGGGAGTGGATGTTTGGGGTTCCTTGCGGGCGCCACGTGGATCATGGAAATGCTGGTGTTCCCTTGGCTGTTGTACTGGGCAGCTGTGGGGCTGGAGGTTTCTTATCCGCACAGGAGGGCCGGGCTTTGACATGGGGGTCTTGTGGGCACCACGTCTGAGAATGTGGAGGAGACGGGGGTTCCCCGAGGGCCAGGGGTGAGTGTCTTGGAGTTGGGGGCTCCCTCTAGGCCAGGTGCGGGTGGCGTGGAGTTGGAGTCCCGGGTTACTCTCCCCTCCCCAGTCCTTAGGGGGCTCCGGTTACTCTCCCACCCCTAACCCTCGGGGGTCTCGGGTTACTCTCCGCTGCCCCATCCAGGTTGGAGGGGCGCGGATATGGGGGTCCCCGAGGGCACGGTGGGAGGGGCGTGGGGGTTGGGGGTTCTGTCGTGCCAGGTGGGAGGGGCGTGGATATGGGGGTCCCCGCGGGCATGGTGGGAGGGGCGTGGAGAAGGGGGTCCCCTCGGGCCAGGTGGGAGGGGTGTGGAGATGGGGGTCCCCTCGGGCCAGGTGGGAGGGGTGTGGAGATGGGGGTTCCCTCAGGCCAGGTGGGAGGGGCGTGGGGGTGGGGGTACCCGTCGTGCCAGATGGGAGGGGCGTGGGGGTGGGGGTCCCTGCGGCCATGGTGGGAGGGGTGTGGAGAAGGGGGTCCCCTCGGAGCGTGGTGATGGGCGCGGCGTGGGGACTCTCTGTGGGCGCAGGGTGGGCGCTGTGAGGTCTGGGGCACCTTGGTGTCGGCTGTGCCTTCACCCCCTAAACGGACCCCACCTCCAGGTCGCCGGGTCCCTGGCGCGCCGCAGGCTGCAGGGGGCGCCCGTGAGCTGTGCGAGGAGTTTTTTTCTTAAACCCCAGGAAGTTTCACACCCACCTGCTGGGTGCACACCCAGTGTGCTGTGGAGACTCGGGTACCGTTTCCCAGCCTCTGTGACGCAAAAGATTGTGAAATAAAATGTTAGAAATAATCATGTGGGCATTATGGTCCAAGGTAATAGTAATAATAATAATAATGTACCCAGATCATATTGCAGTCATGTCTATGCACAGAAAATAATTACACAGTTAATTTTGTTAACTGCGAAAATCCCACCATGTCCAGCACATTCTGGGGAAAACGAAGAACCGTATTGACAGAAGTCACAGAAGAGTCGGATCAATGGGAGGAAAAAAACATGGAAACCGTGTGATGTCTCTTTTTAAATATGGTAAGTTTTTGAGAAACAATTTTTTTTAAAGAGCGGCAAATAGATTGTGATTTCAGATTTTTGCAGGAGTAAGTGTCTCCATTTTGAAGCAATAGAAGGAACCACAGCTTCACAGACCGTGGTGCATATAAGATAAACGTCGTGTAGGCGAGTTTTGTTTCTTTCCTTGTTTTCTAATTATTTATTTTATTATGTGTTTATTTTGAGATGGAGTCTCCCTGTGTTGCAGTGGCCTGATCTCAGCTCAGTGCAACCTCTGCCTCCCGGGTTCAAGCGAGTCTCCTGCCTCAGCTTCCCTGAGTAGCTGGGAGCATGGTGGTGCATACCTCATATCCCAGCTACTCGGGAGGCTGAGGCAGGAGACTCGCTTGAACCCGGGAGGTGCAGGTCGCAGTGAGCCGAGATCGTTCCCCTGCACTGGAGCCTGGGAGACACAGCGAGAGTCCGTCAAAAAAAAAAAAATTCACCATTTCAATCTTCCATCATACAGGGCGTATTAGCGATGGTTCTCTAGGGGGACAGAACTCATATATATGTATATTCCATTATATATATATACATTCTATTGTATATATATGTGATAAATACACCTTATATATATTTCATTATATGTTATATATATTCCATTATAAATATGCATTTATATTCCATTATGCTGTACACACATTATAAATATATGTTATATATATTCCATTATCTATACACCTTATCTATATATTCTGTTATACATATACATTATATATTCTATTACAAATATGTATTATATATCCATTATATAAACATATGCTATATATATTTCATTATATATACATTTTGTATATATTCCATTATATATACAATTATATATATTTCATTATAAATATGCATTATATATTCTATTTATATATATGTTATATATATTCCACTATATATACCTTCTATATATTCCATTATATATGTACATTATGTATATTCCATTATAAATATGCATTATATATATTCCATTATATGTGTTATATATATTCCATTATGTATACACCTTGTCTATATTCCATTATATATAAATTATGTATATTCCATTATAAATATGCATTATATATATTTCATTATATGTGTTATATATATTCCATTATATATACACCTTGTCTATATTCCATTATATATAAATTATGTATATTCCATTATAAATATGCATTATATATATTCCATTATATGTGTTATATATATTCCATTATATATACACCTTGTCTATATTCCATTATATATAAATTATGTATATTCCATTATAAATATGCATTATATATATTCCATTATATGTGTTATATATATTCCATTATATATACACCTTGTCTATATTCCATCATATATAAATTATGTATATTCCATTATAAATATGCATTATATATATTCCATTATATGTGTTATATATATTCCATTATATATACACCTTATCTATATTCCATTATATATAAATTATGTATATTCCATTATAAATATGCATTATATATTCTATTATATATATAAATATATGTTATGTATATTCCTGTATATATACACCTTATACATATTCCATTATATGTATACATTATATATAGTATTACAAATACGCATTGTATAGTCCATTATGTATATAAATATATATGTTATATATATTTCATTATATAAACATCTTATATAGATTTCATTATATATACATTATATATATTCCATTATAAATATGCATTATATATTCTATTATATATATAAGTATATATGTTATGTATATTCCTGTATATATACACCTTATATATATTCCTATATATATTATATATTTATATTCCATTATAAATATGCATCATATATATTCCATTATGTGTTATATATATTCTATTATATGTACACCTTATATATAGTCCATTATATATACATTATGTATATCCATTATAAATATGCATTATATATTCCATATGTTATATTTATTCCATTATAGATACAGCATATATATATTTCAATATATATACATTATATGTATTCAGTTATATATACCTTATATATTCCATTATGTTTATATATTATATGTTCCATTATAAATATGCCTTATGTGTTCCATTATATGTTATATATATTCCATTAAATATACACCTTATAATATATTCCATTATATATATACATTATGTATATTCCATTATAAATATGCATTATATATTCCATTATATATGTTATATATATTCTATTATATATACACTTTATATATATTTTAACATATATATACATTATATTCAATTATATATACCTTATATATTCCATTATGTTTATATAATATATATTCCATTATAAATATGCATTATATATTTCGTTACATATAAATATATGTAATGTATATATATTCATTATGTATATACCTTATATATATTCCATTATACATTATATATATTCCATCATAAATATGCATTATATATTCTCATGTATATGCATTATATATACCATTTTTAATATACGTATATACATACATATCTAACATAAATACATAATGTGTACATATAAATATATATATATCTTCCATAGGTATATATAGTAGCTAATTAGTAATTATATATAGATACATTTAAAAAGGAAGTATATACATATATAAAGAAATTTTATTTATATATATTTATGTATCTATATATAAAGGACTTAATGACTAACTGACACAGTCACAAGGTCCCAACATAGGCCATCTGCAGGCTGAGGGGCAAGGAGAGCCAGTCCGCGTCCCCACAGTGAAGAACTTGCAGTTCAGTATTTAAGAGCAGGAAGCGTCCAGCACGGGAGAAAGGTGGAGGCTGCGAGGAGAGGCCAGGCCCTGTTCCACATTTCTCTGCCTGCTTTATACTCCAGCCGTGCCCCCGCGCCCAGCCAGAACTGGAGCATTTGGAAGGTGTAAGTGGACGTGGTGTCTGCCCTCAGGCCCCCTTCTCCCATTAGACGCAGGTCTCGCAGCCTCAGCAATGCTGACGTTTGGGGCTGGAGGCTTCTTTGCTGTGGGCCACCCTGGGTGCTAGAGGGTACTGAGCATCATTTGTGGGCTCCACCCACCAGGTGCCAGGAGCACCCCCCACCCCCATAGGGACACCAAAGATGAACGCAGACACTGAACAGTGTTCCCCAACGGGGGACGGGGTGGGGGGACCTGCTCTTGGTTGAGATCCAATGCCATATGCACAAAGGTATATACAGAGAGCTAGATGGGTAGATGAATACATAGATAATAGATGGATAGGTGATGGATAAAGATATATGGATAGATAGATGATGGATATATAGATGATAGATGGATAGATAGATGATAGATGGACAGATGATGGATAGATGATAGATGGATAGATGATGGATAGATAGGTGATAGATGGATAGATGATGGATACATCGATGATAGATGGATAGATAGATGATGGATACATAGATGATAGATCGATAGATGGATAGATAGATGATAGATGGTTAGATGATGGATAGATAGATGATAGATGGATAGATGATGGATAGATAATAGATGATGGATAGATGATAGAGAGATGATAGATGATAGATACATGTACACATAGATGAATGATAGATAATGGATAGATAATAGATGATGGATAGATGATAGATGGATAGATGATGGTGGATAGATAATAGTAGATGATGGATAGATGATAGATGGATAGATAGATGATAGATACATGTACACACAGACAAATGATAATGGATAGATAATAGATGATGGATAGATAGATGATAGAGAGATGATAGATGGATAGATGATAGATGCACACATAGACGAATGATAGATAATAAATAGATGATAGATGGATAGATAGATGATGGATATATACATGATAGATGGATAGATGATAGAGAGATGATAGATGATAGATACATGTACACATAGATGAATGATAGATAATGGATAGATAATAGATGATGGATAGATGATAGATGGATAGATGATGGTGGATAGATGATGGATAGATGATAGATAGATGATGGATAGATAGATGATAGATGGATAGATGATGGATACATCGATGATAGATGGATAGATAGATGATGGATACATAGATGATAGATCGATAGATGGATAGATAGATGATAGATGGTTAGATGATGGATAGATAGATGATAGATGGATAGATGATGGATAGATAATAGATGATGGATAGATGATAGAGAGATGATAGATAGATGATAGATACATGTACACATAGATGAATGATAGATAATGGATAGATAATAGATGATGGATAGATGATGGATAGATGATAGATGGATAGATGATGGTGGATAGATTATAGATGGATAGATGATAGATGGATAGATAGATGATAGATACATGTACACAGAGACAAATGATAATGGATAGATAATAGATGATGGATAGATAGATGATAGATGGATAGATGATAGATGTACACATAGACGAATGATAATAAATAGATGATAGATGGATAGATAGATGATGGATATATACATGATAGATGGATAGATGATGGATATATACATGATGGATAGATGATAGGTAGATGTACACATAGATGAATGATAGATAGATGATGGATAGATGATAGATGGATAGATAGATGATGGATACATGGATGGATAGATGATAGATGGATAGATAGATGATGGATGGATGGATAGATGATGCATAAATACATGATAGATGGACAGGTATGGCTTTCTTCAGTGGGGACACACAGTCTCAGTAACCCCCAAATCAAGCCGCTCCACCCTTCCAATTGCCTGACATCACGAAAGAATGTGTAGGTGGTTTGGTGCTTTTTTTTTATAAAGACGGGGTTTCACCATGTTGGTCAGGCTGGTCTTGAACTCCTGACGTCAGGTGATCCACCCGCCTTGGCCTCCAAAGTGCTTGGATTACAGGCGTGAGCCACCACGCCCTGCCGTTTTGTGCTTAAGAAAACAGATAAAATAGGCCTGGAGAGGTGGCTCCCAGCACTTTGGGAGGCTGGGGCGGGCGAATCAGCTGAGGTCAGGAGTTTGAGACCAGCCTGGCCAACGCGGTGAAACTCCGTTTGTACTAAAAATACAAAAAATAGCGGGTGTGGTGGCACACGCCTGGAATCCCAGCTACTCGGGAGGCTGAGGCAGGAGAATAGCTTAAACCCGGGAGGCAGAGGTTGCTGTGAGCCGAGATTGCGCCATTGCTCTCTGGCCTTGGCAACAAGAGCAAAACAGTCTGAAAAAAAAAAAAAGCCAGACGAGGTGGCTCATGCCTGTAATCCCAGCACTTTCAGAGGCCGAGGCAGGTGGATCACCTGAGGTCCAGCGTTCAAGACCAGCCTTGCCAGTGTGGCGAAACCCCGTGTCTACTAAAAACACAGAAAAGCTCAGGCACAAGGATTGCTTGAACCCACGTGGCGGAGGTTGCGGTGAGCTGAGACAGGCCACTGCACTCCAGCCTGGGTGACAGTCAGACTCCTTTTTTTTCCCCCCTACTCTTAGGATATGCTTAAGTTAGAGACTCCATCTCAATTAAAAGAAAAATGTGTGGGTTGCTTTGTGCTTTCAGAAAACAGCTGAAGTAGGCCAGGCGCGGTGGCTCACGCCTGTAATCCCTGCCCTTTGGGAGGCCGAGGTGGGCAGATCCCCTGAGGTTAGGAGTTCAAGACCAGCCTGGCCAACACGAAGCCCTGTCTCTCCTAAAAATACAAAAATTAGCCCAGCATGGTGGTGCACACCTGAATTCCTAGCTACTCAAGAGGCTGAGGCAGGACAATCACTTGAACCCGGGACGTGAAGGTTGCGAGGAGCTGAGATCCTGTCACTGCACTCCAGTCCAGGTGACAAGAGTGAAACTCCATCTCAAAAAAAAAAAAAAAGATGCATTTCAGTCCCGCGGCAGGGGCTAGAGGGAGTCCCGCTCATGGGAGTTGCTGCACCAAGTCAGGAGACATGGAAGCTGCCTGGAGAACTGTCGCCCCACGGCCTGTGGGCATTCAGGGGTGAGCAGCAGTGATGCGATGGTGTCCCACGCAGGAAATGCCCTGGAAATCGTGCGGAAGAGGGGAAGATGCAGGCAGGACTGAGACCCTGACAGGCAGACACGGGCACCGTCACAGCGGCCGTCAGACCGTGAGGAAGCATGAGAAAGCCCTGTGTCCACCACCTGCCCCGGGAGTCCACACCGGCTACTCTGCAAGGCTCCTGGCTCCCAGGATGTCTCCTGGGCTGAAGTGTCATCCCTGGCTGTCCCTCTGTTCCCTCCTCCACAAACTCAGCCTCTGTCTTCTCCTCCCCAAATGCAGCCTCCACCGCTCCTCCCCAAACTCAGGCTCCTTTCCCCACTCCCTAAATCGAGCCTCCATCCCCTCTGCAAATGCACCTCCTTCCCTTCCTCCCCAGATGCACCCTCCTTCCCTTCCTCCCCAAATGCAGCCTCCTTCCCTTCCTCCCCAAATGCAGCCTCCTTCACCTCCTCCCCAAATGCAGTGTCCTTTCCCTCCTTCCCCTCCTCCGCAGATGCAGCCTCCGTCCCAGATGCAGCCTCTTCCCTCATCAAACCCCCCACAGAGGATCCAGACACAGGCTTTTGCTTTCTTTATTCACCCACGACTGCATGTTTCTGTGACTGTCCTGTGGCAGCTGGGGATGGGGCGGCCCCCTGCAGCCTGCGGGAGGGTGTCCCTATCATGAGCATGCTGCCTGGGTTTCAGGGACCCACTCTGGTGGCCAGCATGGCATCCAGGATACCCCCCAAGTGTGCCACCTGCACCTGGCAGAAGCCGTGTTGCTCTAGCAAGCACTGGTACTCGCCCGGGCTCCGCTCCCTGCCCCCCAACTGCACCAGCATGTTCAGCGACTGCAGCAGGGCGACCCGGGCCTCCCTCTTCTCTTCGTCCAGCAGTGTCTCCACCAGCAGCAGGCCGGCCCCTGAGGGGAGAGCAGAGAGCTGGAGTCTTGGCCAGCCAGGTAGGGATCCTTCAGGGGCCAGCAGGGCACACAGCGGGCAACTGGAGCTCAGAACAGTGAACAGAGGCTGCCGAGAAGCCCTGCCCAGGAGACCCACGCAAGTAGGGGAGGGGAGAGAGATGGAGACTCCATGCAGGGCGGAGAGACAGGGAGAAGATTAGATTGAGAGATGGCTGGCTGGCTGGCTGCATGGCCTGGGCCTGTTCCCGTTCTCCTGGATGGATGGATGAACAGATGGTAGAAAGATGCATGGATGATGGATGGCAGATGGATGGATGGATGCATGCATGGACGAGAAGGATGGATGGATAAATGGGACATGATGGGTGGGTAGGTTGACAGATGGATGGATGGATACATGGATGCAAGGATGAGAAGGATGGATGGATGAATAGATGCTGGGTGTGCATAGGCAGATGGATGGATGGATATATGGATGCATGGAAGAAGAAGGATGGATGGATGGATGAATAGATAGATAATGCACGCCGAGATAAATGGATGGATACATGGAAGCATGGATGAGAAGGATGGATGAGTGAATACAAGGTGGGTGATGGACAGGTGGATGGATGGATGGATGGATGGATGGATGAGGACAGATGGGTGAGTGAACAGATGGCAGATAATATATAGGTAGATGGATGGATGGATGGATGGGTGCATGGGTGAGAAGGATGGATGGGTGAATAGATGTTAGATGATGGGTAGACGGATGGATGAGATAGATGGACGGATGGGTAGTTAGATGGATGTATGGGTGAGAAGGATGGATGGGTAAATAGATGGTAGATGATGGATGGGTAGATGGATGAATGGATGGGTAGGTGGATGGATGGATGCATGGGTGAGAAGGATGGATGGGTAAATAGATGGTAGATGATGGGTAGATGGATGGATGGATGGATGGGTAGTTAGATGGATGTATGCGTGAGAAGGATGTGTGGGTAAATAGATGGTAGATGATGGGTAGATGGATGGATGGATGCATGGGTGAGAAGGATGGATGGGTGAATAGATGGTAGATGATGGGTAGATGGATGGATGGATGCAAGGGAGAGAAGGATGGATGGGTGAACAGATGGTAGATTATGGATGGGTAGATGGGTGAGAAGGATGGATGGGTAGATGGATGGATGGATGCATTGGGTGAGAAGGATGGGTTGATGGGTGGATGGATGGGTGAGATGGATGGATGGGTGAATAGATGATGGATGGGTAGATGGATGGATGATGGGTGGATGGATGGATGGATGGATGGATGGGTAGGTGGGTGGATGGATGATGCATGGGTGAGAAGGATGGATGGGTGAATAGATGGTAGGTGATGGAGGGTAGATGGATGGATGGATGCATGGGTGAGAAGGATGGATGGATGGATGCATGGGTGAGAAGGATGGATGGGTGAATAGATGGTAGATGGTGGATGGGTAGATGGATGGATGGATGCATGGGTGAGAAGGATGGATGGGTGAGAAGGATGGATGGGTGAATAGATGGTAGATGGTGGATGGGTAGGTGGATGGATGGATGCATGGGTGAGAAGGACGGATGGTGAATAGATGGTAGGTGATGGATGGGTAGATGGATGGATGGATGCATGGGTGAGAAGGATGGATGGGTGAATAGATGGTAGATGGTGGATGGGTAGGTGGATGGATGGATGCATGGGTGAGAAGGATGGATGGGTGAATAGATGGTAGATGATGGGTAGATGGATGGATGGGTGTATAGATGATAGATGATGGATGATGGGTGGATGGATGGATGAGATGGATAGATGGATGGGTAGGTAGATTGATGGATGGATGCATGGGTGAGAAGGATGCATGGGTGAATAGATGGTAGATGATGGGTAGATGGATGGATGGATGCATGGGTGAGAAGGATGGATGGGTGTATAGATGATAGATGATGGATGGATGATGGGTGGATAGATGGATAGATGGATGGGTAGGTAGATGGATGGATGGATGCATGGGTGAGAAGGATGCATGGGTGAATAGACGGTAGATGGTAGATCGTGGATGGGTAGGTGGATGGATGGATGCATGGGTGAGAAGGATGGATGGGTGAATAGATGGTAGGTGATGGGTAGATGGATGGATGGATGGACGGATGGATAGATAATAAATGATGGACAGAAGACAGATAGGTGACAGATGATTGTTACAAGCCCAGACACAGTGGCTCACGCCTGCCATGCTAGCATTTTGGGAGGGTAAGGCGGGGGGATGGTTTGAGCCCAGGAGTTTGAAACCAACCTGAGCAACACAGTGAGAGAGACCCTGTCTCTATTGTATTTTTTTAAAGGAGGATGACAGATGATAGATGTATAAAGAGAGACACAGACGGGGTGGGGAGAGGGAGGAAGAGACAGAGAGACATAAGGCAGGAGCGGAGAAGGAGGAAAGAGGAGAAACAGAAAGATATTGATGATAGATGAGACACATAAAAAGACAGAGGAGGAGAGAGAGGAAGAGGAAGAAAGACAGAAAGACAGGGTGCAGTGGGTCACATCTTTAACCCCGGCGCTTTGGGAGGCTGAGGCGGGAGGATCGCTTGAGCCCAGGAGTTTGAGAGCAGCCTGGGCAACATAGCAAGACCCCATCTCTACAAAAAAACAAAACATTTTTAAACTATCAGGGCATGGTGACATGTATGTGAACTCTCAGCTACTCGGGAGGCCGAGGTGGGAGGATTGCTTGAACTCCGGAGGTCAAGGCTGCAGTGACTTATGATGACAGATGGTCCTCCAGCCTGAGTGACAGAGTGAGACTCCAATCACCATAAAAAAAATTTTTTTTTTTTTTTGAGACAGAGTCTCGCTGTGTCGCCCAGGCTGGTGTACAGTGGCGAGATCTCAGCTCACTGCGACCTCTGCTTCCGGGTTCAAGCCATTCTCCTGCCTCAGTCTCCATGGTATTACAGGCGGCCACCACCACACCCAGCTAATTTTTTATATTTTTAGTGAAGATGGGGTTTTACCGTGTTAGCTGGGATGGTGTCGATCTCCTGACCTCGCGATCCACCCGCCTCGGCCTCCCAAAGTGCTTGGATTACAGGCGTGAGCCACTGCGCCCGGCCACAAAAAACTTTTTTTTTTGAGACCAAGTCTTGCTCTTGTCATCCAGGGTGGGGTGCAGTGGTGTGACCTCGGCTCACTGCAACCTCCGTCTCCCGGGTTCAAGTGATTCTCCTGCCTCAGCCTCTTGAGTAGCTGGGACTACAGGCACCCACCACCATGTACAGCTACTTTTTTTTTTTTTTTTTTTTGTATTTTTAGTAGAGACAGGATTTCACCATGTTGGCCAGGCTGGTCTCAAACTCCTGACCACAGGTGACTCACCCCACTTTGTCCTCCCAAAGTGCTGGGATTACTGGTGTGAACCACCATGCCAAGCCACAAAAAAAAGTTTTAAAAAATTAGCTGGGCATGGTGACGCATGTGTGTAGTTAGTCCCAGCTACTCAGGAGGCTAAGGTGGGGGGATGGCTTCAGCCCCGAGGGCAAGGCTGCCGTGAGCTGTGACTGTGCCACTGCATACCAGCCTGGGTCTCCGAGTAAGAACTTGTCACAAAAAAATACGTGAGTAGGTAGATATGGCTGGGCGCAGTGGCTCATGCCTGTAATCCAAGCACTTTAGGAGGCTGAGGTGGCTGGATCACCCAAGGTCGGGAGTTTGAGACCGGCCTGACCAACA